AGTATGAAGATTTGGGCTCGGTGGAGAGCGTCCTCTATGGTTTCCCTTGGGTTCTTATACAGATCTTCCTTGAGCGGGGATTCGTACCATAGGCCATTCATGAGTGCCTTGATGGCCAAAGCTTGCGGGATTTGCCCATACGTTGCGACGGCGTTCTTAAATTTCTCGATGAATTTGCGGAATGGTTGGTCACGTTCTTGTACTAGAGTGAACAGGTTGACCGTCCTCTTTGTGATGAATATGGAATAATGTTTTATGAAGGCGTGGGTCAGATCTTTGAAGGATTTGATCGAAGCTGGTGGTAGGTTAGAGAACCACTTCAAAGTATCCTTGTTGAGATGTTCGACAAAGGTTTGGCAGTGGTTGGCTTCGCGTTCGAGGTCGGTCTCGAATCCTTGCCTCTTCATGGCGACGTTGAATCCGGTCAGCCATAGGTTGGGATCTTCCATCCCGTTGTAGTATGGGAGCTTCAGTTTTATCGCCTCACCAAGTCGTACGTCAGTGATCCGTGGGGCGAATGAGTTGCGTTCGGCATCGGAGAGAATGGCTGAGATCTCGGGTGCCGAGCTGGTAGCTCGATGGACTTGGGATCCGATTGCATTTATTCGTTGGTCAAGCTTTGCGATTTCGGAGTTCAGTTTGCCAGATGGCTCCTCATCGTCCGCCGTTGTGCTCCTGATGTTGTTTTGCTCCGGTGTCTCGAAGATCAAACGTCGCCTGATTGGCTCTGATCTTGCGGTGGTTGCGGCTGCGAAGGCGCTGAGTTGCTCGTCGTACTTGGCTTGCTGGGCCTGGAGGGTGTCTAGTTTGGACACCAAGTCCTGTGTGAGTGGTAGCATGGCGGCCTGGATAGCTGCAGCGAGGTCTGCAGCTTGGACGGGAGCTGGGGGTGCTCCCGTGGGTGGATTCGCGGTCGTGGTGTTGGTACGTTCGTCGAGAGTAGACGTCTCGGTGCGGGTGGTGCTGTCGTCGTTGTTGATGAGACCACTGTTGTCGGTTGGGAGACTCATCGCTTCGGATTTTCTTGCTTGGTTTTTAAGAATTTATTCTCTTAGTCCCCACAGACGGCGCCAACTGTTGAACCAGAAAATCACCACTAGGGTTTTGATTAACAATTGTGGGTTTCAGAGAATAAAGTCTTTTATTATTAGCAATAAAGCGAAGCGATTACAAAGAATGGGATAACCGAGAGGTTATGCCGAAGTGAAAAGAAGGTTTGCGAGGTAAACTAGAAAGCGTTGGAGTCTCTGATTTTAGCTCTGCTGCTCTCTAGAATGTATGAGTTGTCCTTCCAGGCTTCAGGGTCTCTGTATTTATAGGGATAGGAGGTCGGTTGCTCTGAACTCCTTTTCCTTTTGTCTTTTGTGAATATTTTCATATCTATGATATGGAAATATCATTTATTCTCCGAGGAATAAGGAAATTCTCCTTTATCCTTTGAATTAGTCCGATGTTTCCGGTCTTCAAGGGTTATCTCTAGAGAGTTTCCTTTAATCCGAACTAGGTCGGTGTGGTCTTCCTAATCCTGACAGGCTTAGGTTAATGCGAGGGAAGACCTTTTTAGGAAATGTGTTCATATTCCCTCTAACAACTCACATGCATTACCTCACCATACTTGAATTTCTTATTGTGTTCTTAGATATAAAACCAAAATGTTTTAAAGCTATTATGATTTGATGAAGAATTAAATATTTTTTTATTAAAAACCTTTTTAGCATTTAACATGTTATAAATTTATGTTTCAAAATAAAATAAGAATCATTATTAAAAGAGGCAAATTAACAAGAAAAAGTCGTATAAAAGAAAACTAACTTGGGCTAAAGTTCTTGAAAAACTTAACCAAAATAAACAAATGGTGTTATGAGTTTTTGAAAAAAATCCATCTGAGATTTAAATTCAACAGTTAGAGCATATCAAATCAGCATTATAACTAGAATTAAAATTAATATAAAAACAAATTTAACTAAGAAAAAGCATTTGTATAAAAGAAATTAATGTGATGTCTATGATACCTATATAGAAAATTAATAATAAAAAAGCTTAATAAAAAGAATATAAGTCCTAAGTATAACAAACATACAAAAAAGTATATAAATTAATATAAATAAAAAAATACTATCAAAAGAAAAAGAAATTAAAACAAAATTAATTTGAAATTAGTTTCAAAAAGTTCATTCCTGATTTCTAAAGTATTAGTATCAACAATGAATAACTATTGACAATTGCAATAGGTTTACATGAGTTTCTAAATCAAACATATTTTTAAATATACAATAATTAATACACTTGATATTTCTGATTTTAAAAAATAACAAAGAAAAATATTATATAAATAATTATACACTCGATATTTAACAAGTAGTAAAATCTGATTTATATACATAGCCACTACTTATATCTGAACCAACATCAAAATACATTCTAAAATTCTATTTAAATAATAAAGTATGACATAGTTATGAATCAAAATTAAATTGGTATATGTAGATAAAATATTCAAATCAAAACATGCATATTGCAACACAAAATAAAAAAACAGTAAAAGTAATGCAATGACTCCACACCACCGATCCTACAAGTTAGAAAACTAAAATTATTAAATATTAGACTATAAAATAGATATCAATGAAAACTGAATAAAAATATAAGCTATAACTCTTCAAAGGCATGGTGGAGAAGGAAAAAATGGTTTTGCATGATCATTGCAGCTTTCTAACAAGATGTGAATCAACATGAATCATGGATTATATATGTACACAACATCAATAAGACTTTCAATATAAAAAAAACTAAATATTTGAACAAGTAAACCTTAAAGAAAAAAGAACTATAAAAATTCTATGGAAAACAGAAAAAATACCAAAATCTTAACAAACAAATCTTTTTGTAAATCAAATGTATATGTATGTCAAAGCTAACTAATTCGTTAAGTGTTATTGTTATTATTTTACCTAATAATTTTTAAACTTTTATAAATAATAATAGGAGAAAATTACGCATTATTTATTAAAATCTCTTATATAACTGGAATATTTTGGTTTTAATAATTTTAAAAATAGTAGCTAAAAATAAATTAAACAAACTATTAATACAGACTCGCGCGTAGCGCAAGTTATATGCCTAGTATACAATATATAATTAATTATAGATGATGATGATGTGTACCAATAGAATTGAATCTTTTAAATCTTATATGTACACCCTTAGAGGCATATAGCATTAACTTTTATTAGTAACTAGTGGATAATCCGTGCTTTGCACGGAATTTTACATATCATATTATGTAAAAGATTTGAACAATACAAAATATCAATTTGCTTAATCATTAATATATCTAATTTTTTAATATTCATATTCACAAACAAAATTTATAGAGTCACAATATCTAATTTTACTTCCACTTGTAAATTTTGTATCTAAAAATATATAATAAATATTATACTTATATTTTTCACTTTTAAAATTTGAGTCAATGTTCATTTTTATACTACATTAAATTTTTGTATCAACGTATAAGTAGACAATATTGATCTGTTCGGTAATGTTTGATGTACTCTCTCTCTCTCTCTCTCTCTCTCTCTCTCTCTCTCTCTCTCTCTCTCTCTCTCTCTCTCACTCATAAACACAACATATTGAACCTTCATTATTTTTCTCATATTTCTCTTTGTTCTCTTCTTCTCGTCATTCTCAGTGTCTACTCTTTCACTTAACTATTGTATAATTTTCATAAAACTTTATCAATTTCTAACTCGGATATTGTATTGTACACGTTAAAGTTTTTTGGATTACAGATTTTGCCTTTTATAACATATATTCTTGTTATTCGGGCTTTTAGAAACTCACGTGAGTATTTAAAATAAATGTTTTTGTCCTAATACTTTTGATAGTTAGAATTGCTTTTGACAATTCTTGTCATTGTTAGAGGAGTTTTATAATTTATTAATAAAGATTAATATATACTTATTTATTTTTTAATGGATTAAACATCATAAACTCTACAAATTAGTGTGATAATAGATCTTGTTATTTTAGATTAGAAAGTTTATTAATAAATTAATATTGTTTTAATATATATATATATATTTTGTAAAAATTTTATATTTTAAAATTGTTTTGGATCTGAAAAGTTGTTTTTGAATTTAGGAAGACCGTATATAAATCTAATTGTTCTTAAATGTTTCTTATTTTTTATCCATAATGAATTAAATAAAAGCATATAATTTTACTAATAATATGAAGAGAAATTTAAAAATTTGTAATATTATTGTTAAAATTTTGATGTATTTATTTTAAAATAAATATTTTAATAAACCATAGAAATAGATGTGATAAAATCATAAAAATAAAATTATAAAATTAAAATTTCATTAAATCGATATATAAGCTATTTATTATATGAAATAATTTTTTAAATTCTATTTATTAAATTAATAATATAGTTTGCAAAAAAGCTCATGTGGCAAAAATTTAGAATATATAATATGAATGGCAGCCTAAAAAGAGACTAGACAGATGTTTGTGGAGGCTTTCTCTAATTTCTCATAGCAATGGTCTAGGGGTAGTAATAATATAAATATCTAACGCAAAAATGTCTCGAACAGAGAGCTATCGATAAACAGAGACGTTCATTTGGTGTTGTATAACTCTTCGCCCAAACGTTAAAAAGAGCTGAAATCTTAAAAAGAAATTTGTAAGACAAAATTTGTTCATGTTTCAATATTACAACGTCCAAGTCTCAACCCTTGTATTCAGTATTAAGGTTCAACAGGACGAGACAATACAAACAAGAACCTCAAAACTCAATCATTCCATAATTATTTCTTTTGCTCTGATTACTGAGAATGCCAGGAAAATTAAAACCCAGGATGTGTCTGTATCCGTAATAAACTGTTTATTGATTATATTGTTTGGATAAGGTAAAAAAAATCCAAAGACGAGCGAGAGAGAGAGAGAGAGAGAGAGAGAGAGAGAGAGAGAGAGAGAGAGAGAGAGAGTGAGACTTAGTTGTCACCATAGATCCACTTCACAGCGTTATTGGTGTAAGAAACAAGCTCTTGAGGCTTAAACCACAGATTGATCTCATCTTTTGCGGTCTCTGGTCCATCATTTCCATGGATTATGTTCCTGCAATCTCACATTTTAATAACCAAACTAAATCTTCATAATATCCTGATACGAATTATAAAAGAAAGAAAACAGAACATACCTCCCAACAACAACCGCAAGATATCCTCGGATTGTTCCAGGCTCAGATTTTTGAGGATCGGTGGCTCCAATCAGTTTACGTCTGTATCTGATCACTCCTCCTTCCCAAACCATTTCATGTCATGTTATGTCAGTCAACTTATTTTGGAGCTTGTTATCAAATTCCAAAACTTGAATGGAGAGTTTATCTTACCATGCATGGCGATAACAGGACCAGAGCTCAGGAAGTCACACAAGCCATTGAAGAAAGGTCTCTCCTTAAGATCATGGTAATGCATTTGAATGTAAAAAATGCAACAGTAGTTAGTCCTCTAGTGAGGTATGGTTAGATATTTATCACTCAGCATTGAAAATAGGAGCCTCAGTGTCTTGCAAACTTAAATTCAGACCAACTTCAGCTGTTTCTTGATTTCCTTCGAAGTAGTCTATATTTTTCCTCGACAAGATGAAAATCTGCGTAGCTTACATAATGTGAGCTTCAGAACAATCGATCCAAAACCTTCGATCTTCGAAATGACAGAGGTTCCCATGCATAACATGTCTTCATTCTTGCTCTTTGTGTAAGTCGAAAACACCTTTATGTCCATGCAGATGTGCCTAGTTGCTCCTGTATCATACCACCACGTTTTTAGGTGGCACTCAGCAATGTTTTCTTCAGTCACGACAGCAACCATATCATCCTCAATCAAGTTACCTTGCTTTCCGCAGAAGTTGCAAGTCCCTGTGAACCTCTGACCATTCTAACTGTTCTGACCATTCTTGTTTTTGAACTTCTGAGTGTTCTTTGCAGGAATCATCTTTCCTTTTCCTTTGTCTTGGCGTCCCTTCCACTTACTTTGCATGTTTTGGAATTCCCCCATGTTAGCATTCATTCGTGACCATCAACACTCTTTTGGAGCTGTTCCCGGTTCGTGGATTCTACTTGAAGTCTCACGATCAGATCCTCAAGGCTCATTCTCTTTTTCTTCAACCTAAGGTAGTTTTTGAAGTCAGTCCATCCAGGTGGAAGCTTCTCGATGATGCAGCAAGCTTGATAGGTTTCACAGATCCTCATTCCCGTAGCGTGGATCTCATGAAGAAGTCTATGCACTTCTCCGAGTTGTTCCATCAATGGCCTCAAATTCACCATCTGATACTGTAGGAATTTCACCACTGAATTTTTGGGATCCAAAATCCTCAATTTGATACTTATTATCAAGGGAATCCCATAACTCTGAACTTTTAAAATCTCCAAACTGTACGTACAACGGTTTGGAGAGATAATTCAGGATGTAGCATTTGCACAGGTAATCGTTGTGCTCACACGCTTGAACAGTTGTAAGCACCATCAAATCAGTGTTGCCTTCAGGGAGATGAGGTCTCACCTTGTTGGTGTATGTCTGCAGGTTCAGTGTCTTCAGATAGAAGAACATCTTCTTTTTCCACATCTTGAACTTAGCCGCAGTCCCATCGGAACTTTCGGGAGGAGGAACAACAGTTCCTTTTGAGATGACTCTGGTCTCGATCAGTCCTGACGCCACAGTTGTTGGAGTACCATCCAGCGCCATCTTTTCTAAATCGTTGGCAATTTCACCAGCTTCGTTTGTCATTCTGATGCAATCAGAAACAAACCAGAATTAATACTTTAAAAGTATGTAAAAGAATTAACTTGGTATGATCCAACATTAAAACTTTAAGATCCGCATATCATCTTTGAATCTCCGCATAGTATTGGTCAAAGCGATTAAAAATGCGTTTGAATAATTGTTTTAGTAACAGTCGTGATTCATGATCTGTTTTACCAAACCCTAATCCGAGAATTGGCGATCAGAAGAAGATAGTAATGCTTCCGTTTATTGATCGCAACCAATAGACGGGAGAGTAATAAAACGGATAAAAATCCAAAAAATCATTTTGAATTCTATTGATTGAAAACTCTTTATTTACTCGTGATTAAAATCTGTGATATGTTAATAAAACAATAACAGATTTCTTTGAGTTAAGACAGTAAGACCAATATTTTATAAACTATGATAAAATCGATTCAATCACGAAAATAATGTTGATAATCAAAACTAAACAAAAAGAGTTAAGGAAAATTTTGAAACAATAAATTGGAAATAACATAAACTGGAAATGGCATCAAAATCGAAATCTCTTTCTTTAACTCAAAGAATCGCCTGTGGTGTGACAGGTATCAAAGATTCATGAGTCCGAATATACAACCGTTTAACTCCGAATCGCAACACTCGATTTCGTGTCTGGCGAACAAACTCTACAAATATTCTCAATATTACTAACCTGATGCAATGGGAGATCAAAGGAACAATATGCTTGTTTTTGTTTTGTGTATTTGATTTCCAATTCATGATTTTTGAATGTGTCAAAAAGAAAGGCTTATGACCTATATAAAGTCTATACTACTTGAAAATATCTCAAATTTCCAATGTGAGACAAATTAACTTTCCACAAAAAATTTTAGCCAATAAAAATATTTTATTTATATGGGCTATAATATGTTTTTATTCACACATACACAAATTAATAAAGCCCAACAATGCCTTTATTAATTTTTGTTTCTCCAACATCTTTTGGGGCACCAGTGTTGTGCTTAAAAGATATCACGTCTGAGTGATAAGCAACTTGATGGGTTTCTACCCCTAAAATTTTAAATTTGCGAAATCTCGATCACTCATTTTGAAATGCCAGTTTCCATATAATTGTCAGAAATTGATGGTCCTCTAGACTATAGTTGACCTCAGATCAGAATAGTCAAAGTCTTTCGTGTGGAAAATGAGTGGTCTCGGATTAGAATAATTAAAGTGATAGGAATAGGTAGAATTTTTTACCACAAAAACTTGCATATATGTTGACATTATTGATTGGAGACTTTTTGTTTTGTACTTAAACCTGTGTTGCAGGAACTACAATTAAAATAAAACTGCGGAGGGAGCAGAAAGCCTGGGTGACTAGTGAAGCTATGTCGATTGTTGTGGATGTTAATGTAGTATCAGATTCAGATATGATAGCTAGAGATGTAAATCTGGGTGGGAGTTCGAGTACTAGCCCTCAAGATGACAATATCTATGAGAGATTGAAGAAGGCGGCTCAAGATGACAATATCTATGAGAGACAATATAGAAAGACTCTACGAGTTGATAGCAGAATATCAAGACATTTTAGGTCACTTTGATAAAGTGCTGTTTTGTGAGAAGGTGCAAACTCATTTTGCCATGGAATTAATGACCCTTAAACCGTCGCTTGCTTCCAAACTAAACGTGTCAGGTTTTAGCCCAATTCATTTAGCTCTGCTAAACAACCACATTCGAATGGTGAGAGGGTTTGTGGCAGCTTAGTCAGCATCAAGGGAAGAGGAAGGATTACTCCTTTGCATCATGTGGCTGGAATAGGCGATGCAGAGTTGTTAAACGAGTTCTTGTTGGCTTGTCCTATTGAGATATGGAATTCGATGATCTTATTGAGAGAGGCATGAGTAGCCTTTATACAGAGGTCAAGGTATACAATATGTAAAGAGAGAATATGTTAACGTTAGAAGAGATATGTACGACATAAATGTTGATTTAGTTCCGATATCTAATACGCCCCCTCAAGATGGAGCACCGTTGGTGATTCCGATCTTGATCGAGAGTTGTTGAAAACGCATGCGTGGTAGTGGCTTTGTGAGAGCATCCGCAAGCTGATCCGCTGAAGTAACATGAGCTACACGTACTTGTCCAGACTGAACCAGATTCCTAACAAAGTGATAATCGAGTGCAAGGTGTTTCATTCTTGAGTGGAATACCGGATTTGCAGCAAGGTAAGTGGCACCAATGTTGTCGCAAAATATGGGAGGTGTTGTTGTTGTCGGAAGTCCTAATTCGGTGAGTAAAGATGTTATCCAGCAAACTTCAGAGGCTGTTTCTGTGACAGATCTGTACTCTGCTTCTGTCGAAGATCTGGCCACTCCCTTTTGTTTCTTTGAAGACCAAGCAATAGGATGCTTTCCATAGTAGACAATGTAAGCACCGGTTGAGGTATAATCGTCCTTATTCCCAGCCCAATCTGCGTCTGTGTAGGCATGAAGAGATGCTGTGTTGGATTTGCTGAAGAAGATGCCATGATGTTGAGTGCCCGAGAGGTAGCGTAGTATACGTTTCACAGCATGCCAATGTTCATCCGTTGGTTGATGTATGAATTGGGACATTTTGTTGACGGCATAGGAGATGTCTGGTCGTGTCAAAGACAGATATTGAAGTGCACCAACAACTGCACGATACCGAGTTGGATCTTTCATTGGTTCGCCGTTGTTGAGTTTGAGGATTGTATTTGGGCACATCGGTGTGGGAACTGATTTGCATTCCAGCATGTTTGTCTTGTATAGAAGATCTGCAATATAACGGTGTTGAGTTAGTAAGAGACCAGTAGACGAATAAATGGCTTCAATACCAAGGAAATAAGAGAGAGAGCCCATGTCTTTGAGAGAGAAGCATTTGGATAGTGTCGTGATAAACAAGTTTAGCTGTTGCTGATTGTTCCCGGTTAGGATAATGTCGTCCACATAGACGAGCATGTATAAGAGAACGCCATTGCGATTATAGATGAAGAGACTTTCATCGGCCAATGAATTTTTGAACCCAAATTGAGTGAGAAACGTCCGGAGCTCATTATACCAAGCGCGGGGAGCTTGTTTTAAGCCGTAGATAGCCTTGTTGAGCTTGCAGACAGCAGTTGGATTATCTTTGTTGATGAAACCCGGAGGTTGAGCCATGTAAACTTCATCATGGAGTTTCCCTTGCAAAAAAGCGTGATTTACATCAAATTGTCGAATAGACCAATTACTCGAAACAGAGATGCTGAGAACGAGACGGATGGTCGCTGGTTTGATGACTGGACTAAATGTCTCATGAAAATCAATCCCCGGACGTTGGTGGAACCCCTTTGCTACAAGTCGTGCTTTATACTTATCAACCGAGCCATCGGCTTTCCTCTTGATCGTGAATACCCACTTGCACCCGACAATATTTGCTGCTGTGTTCGCTGCAGTGAGATTCCATGTGTGTTCCTTGATCTGATTATCAATTTCATCGCACATAGCTTTCGGCCATCTGGGGTCTTTGAGTGCTTCAGCGACAGTCTTCGGGATGGTTCCAGTACATGGTGCAACAGAGACTCGAAGATTGAGTTTGTCAATCGGTTTAGGTGGTCGGGTGGTTTTACGCGTCGGTTCTGGTGGCGGTGGGTGAGGACGAGGTGCGTGTTTTGGTTGGACTCGAGAAGAAGACTCTGTTTGGAGTTGTCTTGTGTTAACGAGAGGTGGGACTGTAATTTGCTGTTGGGCTTCAACTGGATGTTGGGCTTCAGCTGACTGTTGGGTTTCAGCTAGTTGTTGGGCTTCAGCTGGTTGTTGGGCTTGAGTTTGCTGTGGGGTTGTATTTGGCTGGTGAACTGTGATTTGGTCTTGGGCCTGTTGATGAAGCTGTCCTTCTTGGGCCTGTAAAATTGGCGTAACTGATGGTGTTTGGGTTTGTTGAATTGTGTCAACAGTTGCTTGGTCTGAACGTAAGGTTGGCAACGTGGGTTGTGGAGAGGCAACGTGAATCGAAGACACCATTGTCGTGTCTGCACTATAGTTTTCTGCATTTTCAAGCTCAGAAAAAGAAACACTCGTTATAGTGCTAGTCATAGAGAAAGGATAAACATACTCATGAAACACTACATGTCTTGACGTATAAATGCGAGATGTTTTACGATCTAGACAAAAATAAGCGCTTTGTGTCGTAGAGTATCCTAAAAAAACACAAGGAGTTGATCGAGAGTCCAATTTATGAGAGCCATATGGTTTCAACCATGGAAAATATAAGCAACCAAAAATTTTTAATTTTGTATAATTTGGTGATTGCCCAAACAAATTCTGATATGGTGTTTGCATTGAAAGAACTGGTGTGGGCATACGATTTATGAGAAACACAGCCGTTGCGAGTGCGTAAGTCCAATATGACCGTGGCATAGACGCATGCGACAAGAGAGCTAAACCAGTTTCGACTATATGTCGGTGTTTTCGCTCAGCTATACCGTTGTGTTATGGCGTATGAGGAGGAGTAGTAAAATGAGAAATCCCGTTAGTTGACAAAAAAGTTGACAATGCTATAAACTCTCCTCCATTATCTGTATACAGAGTTCTAAGTTTAGTTTGAAATCGATTTTCAACTAAAGCTTTGAACTTTGTAAAAACTTCATAAACTTGAGATTTTAATTTTAAAGGGTATAGCCAAGTATACCTTGTAGAATGATCAACAAAAATAACATAGTACTTAAACCCATCGACTGAAGTGATAGGTGAAGACCAGACATCAGAGAAAACTATATCAAGGGGTTGCTTAGAAACAAGCGTAGATGTTGAAAACGGAAGCTTATGCATTTTATTAGTAAAGCAAGCACTACAAGGCTTGTTCAATAAAACATTTGAAGAAAGAGGTAAATCGAAATTTGAAATAGTTTTTTTAAGGATAGAAAATGCAGGGTGGCCTAGCCTAGAATGCCAATCCGACATAAATGCCTTAACTACAGAGGCATAAGCAAGAGACGGTGGTTTGCATGATCTCTATTTAGGCCATTCATAAGTGCCATCTTTAGGTTTGCCTTCCAAACGAACCGCCCCCGTATTCAGATCGCGAACCTGAAAGTATGTGGGTGTAAAAGTAACCGCAACACCGTTAGTTGAACACAATTGAAATACAGAGATTAGGTTTTTATCAAGAGAAGGCACACATAAGACATTATCAAGTATAAATAGGTTTTTGAGAGAAGGGAGAGATAAAGAACCAGTGTGGGAAATTGGTTGTCCGGATCCATCTCCAAGAATAACATCATCACCACCATTGTATGGAGAATGTAGAGACAGGTTTGCAAGATCAGACGTCATATGGTGTGAGGATCCGGTGTCTACAAGCCATGTGGAGGAATCAGATGATGGAGCGAGAGCAACATTGGCTCTTGGTTGCCAGGATTGATTCGGAGGTGGTGTTGTCCAATGGTTCGAGACAGATCCTCGAATGATGCGATACTCCGGACAATATTTCACACTATGGCCTTGTGTACCGCATGCTTGGCAACGCCCAAGATAAGGACGAGGGCCACGATGATTGGTGTTGTGATTGTTGTAGTGTCTGTATTGGTTGGAGTTGAAGTGACGATTATTGTTGCTGTTGTTCCGCCAGTTATTGTTCTGTTGTGGTTGACGTGGTCTTGCATCTGCAACATTGGCGGTGATGGGTGTTGCCGGTACAATGTCTTCCTTGCAGAGAATCATTGCTTCTCTGTTGAGGAGTCGTTCATGAAGTTCCGCAAAGGAGATGGGAGCATCTCGGCCATTGACAGCATCAATCTCTGGTTTGTAATCGTCATTCAAACCAGCAAGAATCTGTTCGGTAAGGTCTTCGGGATCAACGGGCTTCCTAAGTAAAGCATGGTCATCAGCTTTCCCTTTGATGATGCGGAGATATTTACCAATGGATTTTGTTCCTTTGGTGCAAGTTTTGATTTGATACTTCAATTGGTGGATGTGTCCTCTCGTTGGTTTTCCAAACGTGGAGAGCAATGTAGCCCAGATCTCTGACGTTGTTGTAGCCGTGGACACTACTGATTGCACGGGAAGAGATATCGCTCCGATTAAGGCACTGTAAAGTAGCCGGTCTTGTCTTCGCCAAGGAGCATATGCCGGATTTGGAGACGTGAGGCCATTCAGCGTGATTGTCTGTGGTGGGGCTTGAGGTGAAGCATCGAGAAATCCATGAAGTTCATGGCCTTCAAGAAGAGCTTGGATTTGACGACTCCACATCACATAGTTCAGATCTGTGAGTTTAGTTACGTTCGCCATATTGATGGAGATTAAGGTGGTGGAGGGGTTATTGGTATTGAACACCGTAGTGTTTTCATTGGATGATGTTTCGTTGGACATAATGATCACCGGAAAAATTTCAACGGCAAAGACGAGAGAGAGAAAGAAGGTGAGAAAGATAAGGAAAGAGAATAAGAGAATAGAGAAAATTAAGAGGATTGTGTGATAGTTGCCCTTTTGTGCTCTGATACCATATTGAGATATGGAATTCGATGATCTTATTGAGAGAGGCATGAGTAGCCTTTATACAGATGTCAAAGTATACAATATGGAAAGAGAGAATATGTTAACGTTAGAAGAGATATGTACAACATAAATGTTGATTTAGTTCCTATATCTAATATGTCTTTCTTCTATAAATGATTTGACGATTAAGTGTGAGACAGCTGTGCACATTTCCGTTAAGAACCACCAGCTTATGGCGTTTAAGGTTCTATTGGGATGGGTCAAGAGAGTAAATAAGGAGGGAATCTTGCACTGGAAAGATGAAGATGGTAACATTGTCTTCCACATTGCTGCATCGATAAATCAGACTGAGGTAAATGTCTTTTATTTTTTTTATCTAATTTTGTTTCTCATATCTAAAAAATATTGTTTAGACATTGCTGTTAGTCCATGAAATTGGATAAATACCCTGTTCTGATTTTCTCACCTTAGTATATATATATATTTCTTTGTGTTTCATATTCTTATCAATATAGGATTCTTCATTTTAAAATTATTGTGAAGTGTGCTCGATTTTTGCAGTTCATGAGGTTGCTGCCTAAAACCGCTAAAAATAAAGCCAAGAACTTGGATGGCAAAACCGCGATGGACATACTTCGAACTCACCAGTCTCCTCGTTTCCCTAAAGCAAGAAGATTTTTCCACAATGTTAGAGAAAGACTACCTTGTCGTTCCACAATGACTCTTGCGGGATATTTGAGTAAAAATTTATCCTTTATTGAGAAACGTAACAATCTCTTGGGGCTAAGCAATTTGTGCATGACAGGAGACATGTCTATAAACAGTAGCAACCGTCGGGATGCAATACTTGTGGTGACTATACTGATAGTAACAGCTACATACCAGGCTGGTCTCAGTCCTCCCGGCGGATTTTGACAAGATGATGCTAAGGATCATTATGTTGGAGAGATGACTATGAGCTTCCACAGTGCCTTAATTTTTGTTGTCCCCAACGCGGTTGCTTTCCTATCATCTCTATATGTGATCATAGTCCTCATAATTGGACTCCCCATGTGGAAGTTAATTTATGGTTCAGTGGCGGCTTTAAGTATCGCTATATTAGCATCATACAGCACTATATTCCCGATTCCAGAGGCTGGATCGAAACGGAATCATGCTGTTTGCGACTTTCATGGCATTCATTGTTGATAAACGCCGCCGGTACCAAGTGGACTTCCCGGCAAGCTGTTACAACTCATCTGGTGGAGAGCACCATCTCTATCTTTTATTATTTATTGGGTCGTGTATTATCCTCGTTGGTGTTATTTGTTTTTTGGGTTGGCCTCTTTATATAGTGCAGTTTTCTCTTTAATCTACCCAAACTCTCAAACTCTTGATTTTCTTCCCTCTATTTTACGTTTCCCTCCAAAAAAATTTTAGCATTGAAATTTTTTATTTGCGATTAAATCCATTAAAAATTAGCGATTACCTGTTTAATAATTTTATCCCACGCAAAGTACAAAGTGACTAAAGTCAAAATTACAACTGGGAATCAGTTGTTTTTCTTTTATATACTTTATATTTATATCATCTAAGCATGCATTTTATGTAGAAACTAGTTTCTTTCCTGCATCATTTTTTCACCTTTTGTCCTATTTTCATATATTTTTAGGTTTAAGTATGCATTTAGGCTAGACATTGCATGATTGGTGCATTTTGAGTGTTTTGCAGGTGCTTTTGGAGTGTTTGGGGACTATGAGGAGCATGTGAGATGATAATGGATGCAAGTCAAGGCATTTAAAAGCCAAAGGAGAAGATGTATCTTGTTGAAGTGGCCAGAAACAGAGACTAAAAGATCAGCTCAGACGAAGGATTTCCGTCTCGATTCAGCTCCAGAAATCTTCATGAAAGTTGTAGCCAAGTGAGTTAGACTTCGTCTGAGGTTGGTTTCAAGTCATTCCCATCAGCAGTTGAAAAGTTACAGCAAAATTTGTGAGACCACTCTGAAGACATCACACATGGTGGTCGATGTACCAACTTCGGACTGAACCAAGACCAACATCGGGCATGCGAGTCCGATGTGAAGATTTACGAGAGTCGTGCTGCAACATCAGACTAGACCAGGAGCAACATCGGGTATGCCAGCCCGATGTCCAGAGATAGGACAGCCAACACCGAGCAGCAACATCGGGCATATTGGGAGATCCAAGAAACTGCAAAATTACCTTTTTGCCCCTCTGTCCTAGGGTCCCCCAAGGACACTATAAATATGTAAAAGATATAATTTTTGGGATCTATCTCTTTATCTAGTTCTTATTCTCTTGTTCTTTCTCTTAAATTACTTTTCTTAAAAAAAATGTATTGAATCTTGTTTATTTAATTCAAGTTTGTGATTTTATTCTTCTCAAATCCTGCCTAGCTATACTTTCTTTTTGGATTCTGTGGTTTTGGCAATGATTAGTGAGTGGTAACTATTGAGTTTGAGAATAAGGTAGACTAGAGTGGTTGTAATGATTGTTTTAGGTGTTAAGGTGTTAGATCTCCATATTTCCCTTCTTATGTGATTGTGTTTAATGCTTAGTACCTCTCTGTTGGAGAAGTTGATCTTAGGTTTTTACTTGCACATCAAGTGCTTGATGAAATGTCTGAATGAGTTCATTGTTTGAAAATAGTGTTTAGATAATCATGAGTCTTTGCATCTATCATTTCTTGCTTGAATGTGCTTATTTCTTAGTACCACATTGGTGGAGAAATTGTTTTTAAATGCTGATTATGCATAGGAATATAAGTCAATGTTTCATCTATTGCAGTTTAATTAAAGTTTGTGTTTTTATTCTTCCCAAATCATGCTTAGCAATACTTTCTCTTTGGATTATGTGGTTTTGGCAATGATTAGTAAGTAGTAACTTTTGGGTTTTAGATTAAGGTAGATTAGAGTGGTTCTAATGATTGTTTAGGGAGTTAGAGTGTTAGATCTCTATATTTTCATTCTTGTGTGATTGTGTTTTATGCTTAGTACCTCTTTGTTGGGGAAGTTGATTTTAGATTTTCACTTGCACACCAAGTGTTTGATAAAATGCCTGAATGAGTTCATTGCTTGAAAATGGTGTTTAGATAAACATTAGTCTTTGCATCTATCATTTCTTGTTTGAATGTACTTATTGCTTAGTACCACATTGGTGGAGAAATTGTCTTTAAATGGTTATCAGGCATAGGAATGTGAGTCAATGTTTGATCTATTGCACAAGAGATTAGTAAACCTAGCCTAAGAGATTAGATGTCAAGCATGCTTTTTAGCTTTATACTGTGATTGAATGCTTGCTTGTCATATATACACCACTAACCATGGGTTTGAAATGTGATAAGACAAAATGATTATGTAAAGGGATTGGATTAGTCTATGATTGTAGCATTTGCCTAGGGATATTGTATTGATTGTTGCTTCAGACCTTGAACATGATTTACAACCACCTAAAGTCACATTGCCTTAATCTTGAGCCTTGCCTTTTACCTTTGAAGCTTAGTTACATTCTGTTTTGCCTTGTTTAATTTGCTCTTATCATTGCGTTAATTTCTATATGTTGCTCTTTGTTTGCGTTCTTTTGCTGCTTTGTTTGTCATTAGGCTGTTAGATAACAAAACTTTTCTCTATTAGCTTAGCTTAGAAAAGTTCTCTATATCTCAAGTGTCATAGCTTCCCAAGTGGATTGGCACCTCAATTACTAAAATGACATGTGTGTTTGAGGATTGATTAAAGGCATAAAAGCCTCCATATCAGTCTTCTTCTTCATCCCGTGAGAGAAACAAAATCGCAACAGAGACAGAGAATCAAGCTACAGAGAAAGAACAGATACAGAGCCATGTTTCTCAATGTATTTTTCATATATTTTATCCCTGAGATGTTTTGGCTTACAAAAAAGAAAAAAGGAGGAGGTTCATTTCTTTGCCTTAGGTTTAAGACATTCTAAAAAAGCTTCCGACGATTGAAATCTTTCACCAGCGAAAATTTTACCAGCAAGAGGTTGAGAAAGATGTTGCAGAGCAAGGTTTTCAATAAGAAAACCAGAGGAGGTCGAATTCAAAAGGTATGCCCAATATTGGCGCCGATCTCTCCTCTCTCTCTATTCTTGCTTCTTCTTCCTTCCGAGGTTTTAGTTTTATTTGTTAATTTTGTGGCGACTAATAGCTTGCTATTTTAGACCATTTTATGATGCATTGCATGCATCTTTTCCTCTGTTTTTGCATTATAGTTTAGCCTTTTAGCATTATTTGCACTTAGAATCAACATAGCATGCATTTAGCTTAGGATTGCATACATTTGCATACATTTGCATGTTTGTGGTGGTTTTCAGGTGCTTTTGGAGTTTCTTGGAGTTGGGAAGGAGATGGAAGCAGCTCATGATCAAAGAAGATGTCAGAAATGAAGCTCTTGCAAAGTCTGGTCCATATCGATCAAGCATATCGAGCAGAACACATGTGGAGTATGCTCGATGCAAGCAGCAGGACGAGAGGAAGAGGATCAGCACGAGGATTCCAAGCCGTTGGTCTGCATTGAGGACCAGCATCGAGGAAGGAAGCCAATGTACACTGAACGGACCATATCGAAGTCGCATATCGAGCAGAACATCGTCTGTACGACCTCGATGCAACTTATCCGCGCATTGACCACTTTATTTTCTTTAACCTTATCCTATTTCTAGGTTTTTTATGCTTCTTATGGCTCCCTCTTCTCTAAACCTTAAAGGGCAATTGGCCTTATGAATGCTTGATGTTTGCCTTTGTTAGAAATCCCCATTTTCACTCTTGAAAGCCACTGCCCCACCTTTACTTAGATACTTGCGTCTTGCTTTTTAGTTAACTGTCTTTAAGATCATCTTGCTTAGTTCTTGCTTTAGTAGTCAACTTGCTTAATTTCTTGCTTAGTCATTGCTTCAAGTTTATTGTTTAGTGTTGTCCTCTTGCATTTAGTTTATGCTTTCTTTCCATTGCATTGTTAGGTTGTTAGACTTGTCCTTGTTCAATCAAAGCCCCATCATTGCTTAGCTTATGGCATTGTTTTCATCTCATCTTCCACAAATGATTTGATACTTCATCCCTATTCTACAACTGATTAGAGGCTAAAGACATTTGAGTTTAGACCCAAAAAGTCTTATTTCAGCGACAACAAGTGAGAGAGGTTTACCAAGTAAATCTCCTTTGATTATATAAAAGCTAAACCATTTTGAGGATCAATGGCTGAGATACCTTCGTCATCCCACAATTGATCTCATTTGCCCCTGTTATGTTTAGAATTTCTTTTACATTTATTTTTAATTAGATAAAAGTGGTTGATCTCTATTTTGTCCCTAATAACTTAAAAGAATTACTTAACTAACCACCCTCCAAGCCCATCCAGCCCACTCGACCCACCATCTCGGATCCTGACCCCTTTACTTCTGTAAAACCAGTTAACCTTCCCTTTCATCCCCCACAAAACACGCCGATAAGTCTCAGTTTCATATCAAACCAATCTCAGTACAATCCATCGAAATCCTTTTGAAACCGAACGACCACTCAGTTCTCGCGAGACGAACAAAAACTTGGGAATACTAGTTCAGAGCAAACAGATTCGAGTGAAATCAGAAAAGGTAAGCCACAGATTCTTCTCGAAGATTTCTTCAGATGCATATGTTTTAATTCGGGATTCGATTATAATCGATTTCCCGGATTGTGGATGCAGGCGGACGACTCCTGAAGGACTGATCATGGTGCATAGTAAGAATTTGAATGTTGGATTGGGAGAGGAAAATCCACATGAGGAAGGAGGAACTTCTCAGATTGGTTATGAGAACCAAACCCCAGACCGTACGACTTCCAACCAAGACAACAGAATTAGCCGAACAGACACAGATTCGGATTCAACAGTATGTCGATAATCGTCCTTGTATGTTTTTGGT